ATGTGCCAGGTAATATTATTGATAAGGTAACAAAAGGACCCCAGTGGCAATAAGTCCACTCTGACTTTTTTGGGTTATCCTAGGTTCTCTATATATATGCTGCTGTGTATGATAATCTATGTAACTGTATTTGGTGTGTACCTGAATAAAGTTACTTACTTCAATTCCGTCGACTGAGTACAGGAAACTGCCCATTCACCTATTTCAACTACCCAGTAAATTGGTCAGAAATTGGCAATTTGGCCAATTTCACACAAATTTCGAAAGATGCTAATTTCAAAATAGGGTCCAGAATAAACAATGCAGACATTCCTGGCACTAAAATAACATTTTTTCTGTTCATTAGTCACATTTCCAGGCCCCTCTTATATTACTCTTGCTTTCCATTTTTAATTTTTATTCACACAAAAAAATAGATTTTCTGTTATGCAGACTACCGCATTATTGTAATAATTATATAAATAATATCAACCCATTCACGACTGTGTATTAGACTGGCCAGGTGGACACGTATTGGACAGTGACATCATTTGTTTACTCTTGAACACGGCAAACATCAAACATATCCGCTACTTTGAGCTCAATTTCAAGGTACTTTTTGTCGTGAAACCAATAAAAATCATATCTATTTCTGTAATATATCTTCCATTTTATCAAATAAGACCAAAAAAACGAGAATACAACAATAAAAACCACACGAAAATATGCTGCTAAGGGCCGGCTAATGGCTGAGAAGTGAACTCCATTATTTATTGTTTGATTTCTTTCATTTTTGGTGTACGTTAATAAGCATTTTTCCATCATACATTTTCCAAAGTTTCAGTAAGATAGCTCAACAAACGATGAGAAAAAAAATATTTACCAAAAATGGTATATGTTAAGCCCAAGCCATGTACAGTAGACCCCCAGTTTTCTGCTAGTGTGGAAATCATACAATTTGGATTTCAAGCACTTTTTTCGGTGAAATTTCTCCCTGGGTTTCGTACATCGGCTCAGAAATTGACAGTACCAGATGCGGCCACCTGGGCCGCTCATACGTTTGTGACTCACTCTTGGGCACATTAACCCTTTCAGGGTCACAGGCCCTCTCCTAAACTTGTTCTCAGGGTCGGAAATTTTTCAAAAAAAAAAAAAATATTTTTTGTGAAATGATAGAGAATCTTTTCCCAATCATAATGACACCAAAAGTATGAAATTTGATTGGAAACTTATGGAATTATGTTCTTGCGAAGTTAGCGGTCTCAACGATGTTTACGCATCGGCGATTTTGCCCAATTTGAGCCCTATTTTCGATCAATTCCAATGTACCAGTCAACAAAAATCATAACTATTTTGCTAGAACTCCATTTTTTCTATCGAATAAGTACAAGAAACCACCCATTTACCGATTTCAACTATCCAATAAAGTGGTCAGAGATTGGCAATATTGCCAATTTCACACAAATTTGAAAAGATGCCAATTTCCAAATAGGGTCCAGAATAAACAAGACAGACATTCCTGGCACTAAAATAACATCTTCACTGTTCATTAGTCATGTCCCCAGGCCTCTGTTACATTTCTTTTGCTTTCCACTTTGAATTGTTATTCTCACCAAAAAATAGAAGATTTACTGTTATGCAGACTACTGCATTAGTGTAGAAATGGTGTAGAAATGGTATAAATAATATCAGCGCACTTGCGAAAGAATATTAGACTCACCAGTTGGTGTGTATTGGACACGTTGGTGCGTATTGATAAAAATCGAACATTTCTGCTACTTTGAGCTCGATTTCAAGGTACTTTTCATTGTGAAACCAATCAAAATCGTCTCAATTTCCATAATATGTCTTCCATTCTATAAAATGAGAACAGGAAAACTAGAATACAACCATAAATAGCATACGAAAATACACTGCAAATTCGCTGTTTTAAACCAAAAACACGGTCGGAGTTTTTTTCTCATTATGCACTGTGTGCTGCAGGATTTTTTTTTATACTGCGCACACCGACCACATAGACCCATTCTTTCATATGTAGGCCTACCAGCTTTCTCTCGCTAGATTTGAAGGCGCTAGAATTTATGCGTACTAGTACGACACCAACCCTGGTGTGCAAGCTGTACTAGTATGGTACCAACCTTGAAAGGGCTAAATGCCTTATTTTATGTTAATATAGACATTTTCATTAATCCATCTATGATATTTTCTTCAAAATTATGTAGGAAACACATTACATAGTATTTAAACATGCAGTGTTTATATGCGATGTATGTTTAATAATAATCACTCTTGGGCACACTAAATGTCTTATTCTAGGTTAATATAGTCATTTTCATTAATCCGTCTATGATATTTTCTTCAAAATTATACTATAAGAAACACGTTACTAGCATATAAACATGCAATGATTCTTTGGTATCGAGGGGTGGGGTCGGGTGGAGGGTAAACATTACGTTTTCTTTGGTCCAGCTTCAGAGAAAACATGTATGAATCTGCCTTGGCCCAATAACAGCCCTTAACCCTTTCAGGGTCCGTGCCGTAGATCTACGGCTTTACGTTGAGGGCCCAAACCATTGATCTACACCACGAGCTCAGCTCACTCTGATAAACTGTGAGCAGTAAATTTGGGCCTAGATATGAGAGAATACATCTGTGTGGTATGTGTGCACCACATAAAACAAATCCTGCAGCACACAGTGCATAATGAGAGAAAAAAAATTGAACACAGTGCATAATGAGAGAAAAAAAATTGAGACCGTAATTTTCCATTAAAACAACAACATCAAATTTTGTACTTTTTGTTTTATTATCTTCAGAAAAAGATTCTCTACCATTTCATAAGACAAAAATAACAAAATTATTTTTTGAAAATTCTTAGACACTGGTGCGCACTTTGAAATTTTGCCTCTGGACCCTGAAAGGGTTAATAGTACATAAGGCTTTTGTTTACAGTTCTCGGCATGAATTATTCATTACTTCTCCTTTTGTTTATGATGTCATCTAAAGGTAGTTGTTAGAAATGATTAAACTCAATGAACATGATATGTCGATGGTAATAATATGGCTGTAGGCCACAGTGTATGTAGCTGGTATGTATATGCCTGGGATGTAGTCCCTCTGGGACTACAAATAAATACTACTCAGCAACATGTGTCTTCAATAAAGGTATGTAATGTTCATTTATCATTAAAATTAGTCATTATATTTATTTCTCATTGTTTTCTGTATGTAAAACTATAGTTATTCTCTATAAAATGTATTTTTTGTTAATATTTTTGGGTGTCTGAAACGGATTAATTGGATTTACATTATTTCTTATTGGAAATGTTACTTTGGTTTACGGCCATTTCAGATTAACCCTTAACATTTTCAGGGTCGACAGGCCCTCTCAGAGACTTGTTCTCAGGGTCGGCCAAATTTCAAAAAAAAAAAAATTATTTTTTCTTATGAAAAGATAGAGAATCTTTTCCCGATCATAATGACACCAAAAGTATGAAATTTGATGGAAAACTTATGGAATTATGCTCTCGCGAAGTTAGCAGTCTTGACGATGTTTACGCATCGGTGATTTTGCCCACTTTGACCCCTATTTTCGGCCAATTCCAGTGTACTTGTTGACAAAAATCATAACTATTTCACTAGAACTCCATTTTTTCTATCAAATGAGTAAGAAACCACCCATTTACCGATTTCAACTATCCAATACAGTGGTCAGAATTTAGCAATTTTGCCAATTTCACACAAATTTCAAAAGATGCCAATTTCTGAATAGGGTCCAGAATAAACAAGAAAGACATTCCTGGCACTAAAATAACATTTCCTCTGTTCATTAGTCATGTCCCCATGCCCATCTTACATTCTTTTGCTTTCCATTTTGAATTTTTTTTCTCACAAAAAAATAGAAGATTTACTGTTATGCAGACTACTGCATTGGTGTAGAAATGGTATAAATATTATCAGCGCACTTGTGGAAGAATATTAGACTCACCAGTTGACGTGTATTGGACGCATAGCATGATTTGTTTGCTTTTGAACTTTGGTAAAAATCGAACATTTCTGCTACGTTGAGCGCAATTTCAAGGTAGTTTTCTTTGTAAAACCAGTCAAAATCATCTCAATTTCTGTAACATGTCTTCCATTCTATAAAATGGGACCAGGAAAACTAGAATACAACAATAAATACCATACGAAAATACAGTGCAAAGTCGCTGTTTTAATCCAAACACATGGTCAAAGTTTGTTTTTTTTTCTCATTACGCACTGTGTGCTGCAGGATTTTTTTATACCATGCACACTGACCACACAGACCCATTCTTTCATATGTAGGCCTACCAGCTTTCTCTCACTAGATTTGAGAGCGCTAGAATTTAGGCGTACTAGTACATCAAAAACCCTGGTGCATAAGCCATACTAGTACGGCCGAAACCCTGAAAGGGTTAAACTTTCCAAACGTAGATCTGTGTTGACGTGTGTAGTGCTCCGAACGTAGATCTATGTCCGATTTTACATGCTTTCAAATGGAGAAAATCAAGGTCGGAGCACTACTCATGTCAACATAGATCTATGTTTAGTCAGTTTAAGGGCTAATTACGAAAACCTGGGGTCTACTGTACTGGAAATAAGTCACTTAGTCTTTTTTTGGGTTATTTTATGTTCTCTACACATATGACTCTTTGTATGATAATCTATGCAACTGTGTTTGTGTATACATGTACCTGAATAATCTTAATTACGATGCTGGGTGGATGTTGTGGCGTTTGCTGCGCCAACTAGTGGCAGTGTATCTGAAGCTCGCTCGTGACTCAGATTTTGGCTTGCAACTCAAAGCAAAAAATCAACCGAGCGATGGCTCATAACTTGGAAGACTCGTAAGTTGGGGCACTCATAAGTCAAGGTACCACTGTATAACATTTCTGGTATATTCTTTAAATTTTTATACAGTAGTGTACTGTATGTTGTAATAAACAGAATAGAGGAAATCAGCTCTTAATATACATTATTTAGGTATGCATACTGGCCAGAGAGCCCATCGTAAGTCCAAGTCATCAGTAAAGTTCTACTGCATAAATGAAGTATTTTGGTTATTGATTTATAGTTTTTGAAACATTTCAGACTGGAATCTCTTGAAGTTATTGCTGTGGAGAAAGATGTTGGTATGCTGATTGTTGATTCCATAGCATCATTAGCACGCAAGGAGATACCAGCTACATCCTCATATTCTAACATAGCAAGGACCAACCAACTAGCTTCGTGGGCAGCTAAATTGAAGTGTATTGCCCAGCAGCTCAATATCTGTGTAAGTTAACTATATGTATATGTACAGTGGAACCTCTGCTTATGAGTTTAATCCATTCTGTGACCTAGCTCGTAACCCGATCTGCTCATATGCCAAGACAATTTTCCTTATTTAAATTAATTGAAATGCCATTAATCCGTTCCAGCGGAATTTCTTCTCTCGGAAGGCAGGACAAAAATACTTCAGTATGACACTAATATCAACTCTACAGTTTATTTATCTATCACAATTCATCTAACCTGACATAATAGACAATATAATTAACTTAGAAATGAATAAAATAGGCTATAATATGGCGAGTGGTTGTGTCGGCGTCCATTCCCTCTCCCATTGACTATATCTTCCCATGCTTTTATTATAAGAGAAAACAGAGTTTGTGAGGCTAGCTGCACTAGTTTCATAAACAAGTTTCATAAATAAGAAACCTTGTATAAAAACATAATAGAAAATGTAAAGAAATAAAGTGGTTTTATAAATTTGTACGTACGCTGGTAGAGGTGGAGAGTGGAAGATAGGCTACTTGCTACTAGTTCCTACTACCACCACACACCTTGCTTGTTTATCTATGATTTCATGCTGTAATTCCATGGGCATCATCCTCTTTTTCTTCTCAGCACTGTCCTTTGTGCTTACTCTCTTAAGATCCATGGTTAGAAAAAAGAAATTTGGCAATAATAACATGAGAAATGCTTCCACAGTGACATAAACACATTGCACAGCTCAGCTGATGTTGTGGCGTTGGCTGTGCCACCTAGTGATGATGTTCTGAAACTCGCTTACTATTATTATTATTATTATTATTATTATTATTATTATTATTATTATTATTAATTTAGGGAACTGGAGCACAGATCCAATTCCCTAGATCAAAAGTCCCTCACCAGCATCAAGGAACCTACCTTGAGAAGGAAGCTCGCAACCTGAATTTTGGCTCGTATCCAGTAGCAAAAAATCAAGTGAGTGATGGCTTGTATCGTGAAAAACTTGCACGGTGGGGCACTTGTAAGCAGAGGTTCCACCTCAGTCCCACCTTAGAGTGGACAAAGCACCAGACGATGCCATATTGTCTGTTCCCTCAGGTAGAGACTCAGAGTGGACAAAGGTACAAGATTATAGAAAACAAACAACAAGGGAAAATTACTAAAATATGAGAAAATAGAAGGTAGCATTCTCTTGGAAGTATGCTGCCACCACCTGCTCTTTTAATAGTGGAAGAGATAAAAGTAGTCATAGTCAGTAGGAGAAGGGAGGAAACTACGGAGGTTGGGTTAGAGCAGGAAAAAATCCAATGAGAAATAATACAGGATAGTTATAATAAGATAGGGTAGCTTGGCCTGAAAATTGAGCAGTAGGCACCTTATCAGGGGCCTGACTCTCCCAAAAAAATTATATCATCAATATGCTACTCAATTTAACCTCTGAAAACAAATGGACCTTATATACATGGCTGAAAGGGGGAACTAAAACATACTCAGATAAAACCACTTACAGTTTAATAAACACATTGCAGAGGAATCTGAATTTGCTAGTACCAAAGAAATAAAGAATTACTAGCAGCAAGTACCTAACATTATAGCAGAACCGGCTTACTGATATTAGAAATACCTCCCCACATAGTTCCCCAGGAACTCCATTGCTTTACCATGCTGTCTGGGGTTACCTCCTTTGTTTTAAATGCCTTGATACATTCCTTCTTCGGGCTGCTACTGAGATCTTCCTTAATCCCAGAATACAAGCCAGGACTGATCCTCCAGGGCAAGGGTTTTCAAGATCTCTAGAAAACTATCTCCTTTCCTCAGTATCTCTTCAGTAACCCATGTACTTCTATAATTTTGTAGGCATCTCTTGGGGGGGGGTATCCTGGTTGCTGCTAAACCCTATAAGAATATTTTTGTGGTTTGCTCACAAAATGCACAAGCAAGAATTTCTACAAAAAAAAAAAATAAAGATCTTACAAAAAATTAAGAGAGGAATATAATCAACAAGACACTACTTCACATTCATCACAACAATAAAAATGGCATATTAAAATTAATTCCCTTAACACAATTATAAGACAAACTAGGTTAAGTTACATGTTACAGACAAGTTACAGAAAATAAACATAGCTGAACATAAGTAGTAGATATTTAATAAAAGATTAATAGCATAAAAGATAGGTTAGAAATAAATAGTATTAGGGTACATAACAGGTATTGGTAAAAAAGAATGAAAAGATGGGGTGGTAGGGAAAGTGGAATATTCAAACAGCTTCAGGAAGAAATCCAAATATTCTTTCTTGAAGCCTTTTTATCCACTTCTGTGAGGCTATGGGTCCCACAATTTACACCAGAGGTAGACCTGATCTGTATATAAAATATATATATATATATTTTTTTTTTTAACAAGTTGGCCATCTCCCACCGAGGCAGGGTGACCCAAAAAAGAAAGAAAATCCCCAAAAAGAAAATACTTTCATCATCATTCAACACTTTCACCACACTCACACATTATCACTGCTTTTGCAGAGGTGCTCAGAATACAACAGTTTAGAAGCATATACGTATAAAGATACACAACATATCCCTCCAAACTGCCAATATCCCAAGCCCCTCCTTTAAAGTGCAGGCATTGTACTTCCCATTTCCAGGACTCAAGTCCGACTATATGAAAATAACCGGTTTCCCTGAATCACTTCACTAAATATTACCCTGCTCACACTCCAACAGATCGTCAGGTCCCAAGTATCATTTGTGTCCATTCACTCCTATCTAACACTCTCACGCACACTTGCTGGAAGTCCAAACCCCTCGCCCACAGAACCTTCTTTACCCCCTCTCTCCAACCCTTTCGAGGACGACCCCTACCCCTCCTTCCTTCCCCCTATAGATTTATATGCTTTCCATGTCATTCTACTTTGATCCATTCTCTCTAAATGACCAAACCACCTCAACAACCCCTCTTCTGCCCTCTGACTAATGCTTTTATTAACTCCACACCTTCTCCTAATTTCCACACTCCGAATTTTATGCATAATATTTACACCACACATTGCCCTTAGACAGGACATCTCCACTGCCTCCAACCGTCTCCTCGCTGCTGCATTTACCACCCAAGCTTCACATCCATATAAGAGTGTTGGTACCACTATACTTTCATACATTACCTTCTTTGCCTCCATAGATAGCGTTTTTTGACTCCACATATACCTCAACGCACCACTCACCTTTTTTCCCTCATCAATTCTATGATTAACCTCATCCGCCGACACGTCAACTCCCAAGTATCTGAAAACATTCACTTCTTCCATACTCCTCCTCCCCAATTTGATATCCAATTTTTCTTTATCTAAATCACCTTACTCTTTTCTATGTTCACTTTCAACTTCCTACCTTTACACACATTCCCAAACTCATCCACTAACCTTGGCAATTTTTCTTTAGACTCTCCCATAAGCACAGTATCATCAGCAAAAAGTAACTGTGTCAATTCCCATTTTGAATTTGATTCCCCATAATTTAATCCCACCCCTCTCCTGAACACCCTAGCATTTACTTCTTTTACAACTCCATCTATAAATATATTAAACAACCATTGTGACATTACACATCCCTGTCTAAGACCTGCTTTTTCCGGGAAGTATTCTCCCTCTCTTCTACACACCCTAACCTGAGCCTCACTATCCTCATAAAAACTCTTAACAGCATTTAGTAATTTCCCACCTATTCCATATACTTGCAACATCTGCCACATTGCTCCTCTATCCACTCTATCATATGCCTTTTCTAAATCCATAAATGCAATAAAAACTTCCCTACCTTTATCTAAATACTGTTCACATATATGCTTCAATGTAAACACTTGATCTACACATCCCCTACCCACTCTGAAGCCTCCCTGCTCATCCGCAATCCTACATTCTGTCTTACCTCAAATTTCTTTCAATTATAACCCTACCGTATACTTTTCCTGGTATACTCGGTAAACTTATTCCTCTATAATTTTTACAATCTCTTTTGTCCCCTTTCCCTTTATATAAAGGGATTATACATGCTCTCCGCCAATCCCTAGGTACCTTCCCCTCTTTCATACATTTATTAAACAAAAGTACCAACCACTCCAACACTATATCCCCCCCTGGTTTTAACATTTCTGTCATGATTCCATCAGTTCCAGCTGCTTTACCCCCTTTCATTCTACGTAATGCCTCACGTACCTCCACCACACTTACATTCTGCTCTTCTTCACTCCTAAAAGATGGTATACTTCCCTGGCCAGTGCATGAAATTACTGCCTCCCTTTCTTCCTCAACATTTAAAAGTTCCTCAAAATATTCTCACCATCTACCTAATACCTGCCTTTCCCCATCTACTAATTCCCCTACTCTGTTTTTAACTGACAAATCCATGCTTTCCCTAGGCTTTCTTAACTTGTTTAACTCACTCCAAATTTTTTTCTTATTTTCATTAAAATTTCTTGACAGTGCCTCTCCCACTCTATCATCTGCTCTCCTTTTGCACTCTCTCACCACTCTCTTCACCTTTCTTTTACTCTCCATATACTCTGCTCTTCTTATAACACTTCTGCTTTGTAAAAACCTCTCATAAGCTACCTTTTTCTCTTTTATCACACCCTTTACTTCATCATTCCACCAATCACTCCTCTTTCCTCCTGCCCCCACCCTCCTATAACCACAAACTTCTGCCCCACATTCTAATACTGCATTTTTAAAACTATTCCAAACCTCTCAACCCCCCCCACTACTCATCTTGCACTAGCCCACCTTTCTGCCAATAGTCGCTTATATCTCACCCGAACTTCCTCCTCCCTTAGTTTATACACTTTCACCTCCCTCTTACTTGTTGTTGCCACCTTCCTCTTTTCCCATCTACCTCTTACTCTAACTGTAGCTACAACTAAAATAATGATCCGATATATCAGTTGCCCCTCTATAAACATGTACATCCTGGAGAGCCTACCCATCAACCTTTTATCCACCAATACATAATCTAATAAACTAC